AAATAGTCCAAAACCATTTTTGAACACAATAATTCTTCCAGTTTCCTGTCCATAACTACCATATTTTTCAGAGTATAAGATGCTCCGGACTATAAAACGCACCTACCTTTTTTGGTGAGGAAAACAAGAAAAAGAAATCTGCCTCCCAGCAATTTTGCCTCGTTGCAGCAAACAGCAAATAGCCTGCTTTACTTTCATTTTCGTTTTCAGCATAGCTTGATTCGCAAAATATATATATATATATCTCCTTGCAGCAAGCAGCAGAGGCCCGCGCAGCAATAGGCAATGGCAATCCCTGCAGTCTGAAACAGCTGAGAGTCAGGAGACTGATCCAAGGACAATCAACTTGTGCTAATTAGTCTGTGCTGAAGCTGAAATGGGCTGTTTATTCTTGCTGCTTGCTGCAAGGAGGTAAATTGCTGGGAGGCAGAGGCCAAAGGGTGGGGGCCAGTGGGTAGGTGGGTCTACATTTGGTGTATAAGACACACCCAAATTTTCACCCCTTTTAGGAGGGAAAAAGGTGTGTCTTATACTCCGAAAAATACAGTAAGTAATTTGTCCAGATTTTTCCAAACAGCAAGTCAAAGCTAGTATATGGCTACGCAACATTTATTAAATTCTAAAAAAGTACTTCAGAACATTAATGTAGGGCTTATCCTGAAAGTATCAGCATCTTTTCCCAGGATTGTTCAGCTGTTCCCTAAAGATGCTGTGAGAACCTGGGAAAAGATGCACCTACTTTAAAGAACTGAAGATATAGTAAGCATTACATTCATGCCCTGCCTACAGACACTCTGAAACATCTTTCTGAAATCAAATCCAAAACATTGTATGTTCATAATCAGAGCCCATAAGTATAGTATAAATACCACATGTAAAAGTATGTTATATTCCAAACATGTAATGTTGCATATTGTATGTCAGTTAACCCAGGCAGCATTAATTAAAAACACTTGTTCCAAAGATTTTGTATTTTAAGAGGTAAAATAATTTAATTCAAGAATCACAAATATTGAAACTCTGCACCTTTAACCAGAGGTTCCATCCAATTTACATCACAAACATCTAATAATAGAACTGTGTAGTTGTTCATTTGCATGTGCTCACTTCTCACAGCAAACAGATAATCCATATTTCCTCTTTCTTCATCTAACCAACAAGAGCAGGATGAAAAAAAGGTATTTCTGAGAATAATATGCAGCTTGCATATTATTCATATTAATTCAAAATCATAATTGTATCTTCCATAAATTTACCACTGTCTTGCAGTCTTGAAAGCCAAATATGGCCTCCAATTTACTAGCTAAAATGAAGTTGGCTTCTTTGTGCTCAATGTGCTTCGGGAACTCAGCCAAAGCAGTTAGTTATAGGTTTAACATGTTGTGGGTTAATTCAATAAACTATGGATCATTTAACCATGAGTTAGTATATCATGCAAACATGGCCACAGATGCCATATACTTAGAAGCAGTTGTTTTTTTCATATCTAGCTCTAGGATAAACCAATAAAACAACCACTATCAATAGATAAAGTGATGGCAACCATTATCAGATTTCTGCTTATAAGCTTTCTTTGAAAATCTAGCTACTTGGTGTCAGATACTGAGAACTAGGCTTAATGTCTTAGTCTTATAGTGGCAATTCTTTTATTTTTAAACATCCCTCTCTTCTCCAGTGCTACACCATATTTAAACAAAATCTCTTATTCATTCCGTTTCTACCCACAATGTCTTTGAAACAGGAAGTCTTAGGAAATTATGTTATCAATGTATTATGATCAAAGAAATATTTATACAGTACATAATACTGTACTGAAATATATACCAAATTTTGGAGACTAGTTGTAATCAATATCTTGTGACCAACGACTACCATAAAATTAGCATGGATTGGCCACACAAATAACAGCATCCATTAAGAAAATGTAATTCACATCCAACTTATTTGTTCCTTCATCACATTTGGAAAATAGGAATAAAACACAATTCCCACGCAGCCTCTTATCCTGAAAAAGTTAGATGCAGGCTGAATTAATGTCAGTAGAGATTCTTCAGATCATACCACCATAGCTCAAGTAGGCAAACAGGAACAATTTTAATCTAAGATGAAAGAATATGGTTCAGATAGGATTCCAAAGTACTTTATTCAAAATTATTTTTAAAGTCATGTGGCTGAAATTGTTTTTCTTAAAAAATGTTACCACCATTATATTTGAAGGCTTTCAATTTAATTGGGGCTTTAGTCAATTTAGTTTGCTGATCTTAACTAGTTAATTAAATACTTTTTATACAAATGCTATTATAAAGATGCTTCAATTATGCTAATTTGGGGGCCTTAATAAACCTAGTCATCAGTGTGATATAAAATGAAACTTGGAAAGGACGTTGGTCTTACCTGACACATCTCTTCTCAGTGCGCTGCGGGAGAATAAGACAAATTCAAATCCTATTTAACCATGGAATGACATTGGAAAATCAATAACTTTAAGTTCATACTACTACACAGGATTGCTGCAGCTGTAAGGATAAAGGAATCTTTCCCTCCTAGAGGAATCATCTCTTACTTTAATAAGGCAGAACAGAGTATTAAATCAAGTGAACTCTATCTATGTAACTCTTCGGTATTATCAGATGCCTCTCACAGGATACAGTAGTAAAGCAATTCCTTACAAATTCTATGTTAACCTCCGATTAATTGAATATATATAACAATATATTGGCGAAAATATAAGAATTAATATAACTTGTTGTCAATGGTACAAGTTTGCAACCAAGCTGAATTGATGGCCGTTTTATACTATACACTGAATTGCAAACTGGCTAATTGCATTCAACCATAGTTCATGGTTTGCAATGTTGTACAAACCTAGAACTGAGCTCTAAGGGTTCTGGGTTCATAATTAACTATGTCATACAAGCAGAGAATGTTGCTATAAGCTCAATTTTTAAGTGGAAGAAAATATTAATTTTAAGATCATCTCAAAAATGTATCAACAATTTACCTAATTGTTTATTATTAAATTTATTTGCTGCCCATCTTGTGGTTTGAGGTGATTCTGAGCAGTTTATTGACTCAAGAATATACGTTGGATATTCAAGAAACCATATAATAAAAAACTGATCCAAATATTTGAAGTATACTCAACAATATTTTTATTCCCATAGAGAAATAATTTAATCCTTAAATTGGGTTTTGAGTTTCTGGGGAAAATATTCCTTTTTATTTTTTTCTTAAACGTATAAAATGTACTTGTGAGATACGCAACATTTGATCTTAATAACTGTAGAATCTACTATAATAGTTCCTGTGTTTTAATAAATCCTGATATTTAATAATTGTTAAAACTGCTTATTACCTAGAGATAAACAAAAAAAAAAAACCACTTTCAAAAAACAGTATGCTTTAAATGTAGATTTAGCATAAGTCCCAAACTTAAGAATCCATGTTGGATAAAATCCATTACACTTATATTTGAGTATTTCCAAATATATCATAATGTTCTTCCTTAATTCACCCACTTGAATAAATGGTGTTCAAAGGAGAAGGGGGAGATAAAGATCACAGGACTAATAGGGCTGAAAGTTAACTATTCTAACTAATGCTATAAAAAATTAGTTTCCTTTTCTTAAAATCAATGCTCAGAACAAGGCTTTCAGGGAGTTTTTATTTCTAGGAGGATTCCCATTCCATCTTTCTAAATCAGGGTAACAGGACTTAATGTATCCAGATTCAAAAGGGAATGTTCATTGGCCTTACACATTTCATTTGAATGTGGGTGCTATCAATTATATGACCTGAAATTTTCTCAGTATCTTTAACCTTATGCAATTGTAGTTCCACCCTGTTTTAAATCAAAGTGCCTCTACAAGCCTATCCCAACAGAAACCCAAAATTGGATGCATTGGGAAATGTGTGCATCACTCACTCTTTGTTCCAAAGGTGTACAATTCAAAGTAGGAGCAGTTTATCTAGTTGCCATTTTAATCAGTGACTGTAATAAAAGCATTTTCATTGACCTAATTGGCAAAGATAAGGGTTCTTACACCTTTCAAAAGGATCTAGTTGAAGTATGTAAGCAAGTGCAACTCAGCAGACAAGGGTAAAACAATCTCAAACCGAGCAAAATGTTCTCCCCGCTGCAGAACTTCTAAAGAGGCAACAACCCTTCTATTTTGCAATTGTTCATTTCAGCAGCAGCTTTTTTGGAGGCTTCCTTTCCTCACAAACCACGAGACAAGACACAGCGGCTGCTCCTTCACGGGTAGCAATACCTCGTGTCATCTTTCCCCACTTCCCAGAGTCCCGATACGCCCTGCAGGACCCGAATGCTAACTTTCCCACCCCCAAATCTGGTTTACTGAAATGCTACACACCCGCGCAGTAAGAAAAAACGGGACAAAAATCGGAAAGGCACAGAAACGAACTTTACAATTTAAGAAGAACAAAACAAAAAAAAACTATTATGGCTACGGTGCAGCCCCGTGCGTAGGATCGAAGACAGTCTGAGACCCAGCAAGCTAAAAACACGGACTCTACGAGGCTGCGTGAAAGCCCCCCCCCCCGCCCCCCGCCAAAAAAACTTCCTTTCCTCGCGAAGGAAAAAAAATCGCTTTGTTCGCCGCCTCTCACCAGGCTCCAGCAGGCTCTTTCTGCCTCCCGCCACGGGTCTCCTGCGCTCTGCTCTCCAAGAGGCAACACCATCAGAGACGGGGCGGCCAAAGGGAGTCAAGACGCCCGGCTAAGGCAGCAGCTGACCCGGCTTGGACGCGCTCCCTCCTCACCATCTACTTCCTGTTTCTTCCCCTGCGAAAGCAAAGCGGCGGAGGAGGAGCTATTCCAGCGCCATCTGCTCCGGCCTCCCGCAGGCAACCCAATTGATGCCGGAGAGATGGAGGAACAGATCGCACACAGGCATTAACCAACGACCCGGCAATCATCGACCAACGTTTTCTATGCCGTTCAGCTCGAGTGTAGCATACTACAATGACCGGTAACGCGCGAAGTGGATACGAGAAACGGGGCACCAATTCTCACTGAGGATGAGGCTGTGTCTGAAGTTTTGCAGCTTCTCAATGCGAACATGCTCTCTCTTTCCCCGCAGCGAAACGGGGGGTCCACTCATAGAGCAGTATTACAGGTAGCGATGACATAACAAGCCGTCACTCTCAACTCGCGTGTATGTTGAAGGAAGAAACTTGAGGCAGGCAACAGAGAAAATACCATTATGATGTATAAGTCTCCCTTTCTAAAATATGCACCCCAGCCTCAGATTTGGTTTCTTAGTGAGGATTGATCCAATAAATTCCTAAAGAATAGTGTGTCAGTTAAATCGAGGCTGTACAATAGCAAACCAATGGAATGCAGGGAGCTGTCGTCTGTGAAGTCTTATAAGCCAATTACCGACAGCTAATGTCCGACAGAAAGGTCCGATTTGAACTCAAAACCCAACTAATTTGGGGCGCTTAAATAGCAGCACCCTTCAGTTCTCCAGTCTATATAAAACACTTCAGAATTATAGGAGCAATACCTGATGGCCATTTCACACCTACAAGGAGTCAATATTTTGCATTGTCTGCTTCAGTGTTTGACAATTTTAAGATGTCCACAGAAGTCCACATATCTTAAAGCTGTCAAGGCTGAGAAACTACGCCTCTCTGCTTTTTCCTGAGGCCTGAATATGTAGACAGACAAGCGAACATGACTTCTGGAACGTGAACCATGTGATTCCGTCCCATGACATCCCTTAATTAATTTCTTGCTTTCCTTTCTCATACAAATTGGCCCCTAGGCTTGCATGAGGACGAATTAATGACGCTTTGCGTGAAGGAGGCCAGCTATCTGAGTGCAAAGCTTTCAGCGTTCTTGTATCTAGAAAAGCAGCCAAGTGTCAAAATAAAGCCCAGCGGATTCTCTGCTTGTCCTTGGGAGCTTCTCTTTGCTCACGACTAATCAGGGTCAAGATCAAAGATCAACGGCAGTCAAGCTTCCTCTTTGGACAGCCGGATCAAATCCTACCATTTCAAGGATCTGAAGCCTGAGCTGTTCTGTTAAACCTTCGGAAGCCGGAGACAGTCCGCGAAATCCTAAACTTGCAATCCCGCACCCAAGCGACAGGTTACGCTTGCCAGTGGTGGCAAGACAAAGCAAGAAAAAAAATGCATTTGTGTTCGCTGCAATATCTAGCTTGCATCTTTAGCGCGTCATCCCCGTCCTTGTCTCCGATCTACCCGCGGGAACATGATAAAATCACCTTTGTTCTACTCCACTTCTTTATTCTGTGTGTTCTGTGCTCTTAACCCCCTCCCCCCTCAAATAAAAAAAAGCTTCTCCAGTCATTTTCCTTCGCTGGTTCGTGACAGGCGCGTGGGAAGAGCGCATTGGCGAAGCGGTTTTCCTCGTTTTCTCTATTGGGCAACTGGAGAGTAAAGGAGGGACGAAATATCAGACCTTATTGTGGGCCTTACCGAGACCGGGAGGAGGTGTGGCCCTAGCAGGCTTTCATTTAAACCTGCTCTTTTTTTTTTTAACCTATTGCAGAGTCTACGCCCCGAGTAAAAGCGACGGCGGTACCGCTAGCACCAGCAGTAGCAGCTACCCAAGCGTAGAGCTCGACCGTGGCAGTGGGAGCGAGACGAGCAGTGACAACCCAAGCTCTCCTCGTCCTGGGATCTTCCAGTCCTGTTTTTCCAAGTCTTCCAAGTCGCTCAGTGATTCCTATCTGCCCAAAGAGGTGAGTCTCCTCTATTTCTTCGCCTTCATTTCTTCGGGGTGCATGGATTAGTCGGCTCCAAATGATTACTGTAAAGCAGCGAGCCCTGCAGTGTCTTAAAGGCTGGCAAGGGTTATTGTGCCGCTGAAGCAACAAATAGCTTAAAAACTAAAATGCTATTATAAGGTTACGCGGCCCTTTTTGCTGTTTTTACTGCAATTACCTAGTCTGACTGCGGCTTTGGACAGGGTTTTTTTTTTTTAAATGACATGAAAAGCCTCTTTCATATGCTGTACAAATCCTTATTTGTGTTAGAATTTCCTGGTTTCCAGTTGCTTGTCACTATTGATTCTTTGTCCCCACCCTCAAACATAGAAGTCAAAATGGCTGAGAAAGCTTTTCACCTTTTGTGTTATATTGGTTTGGTTAAGTTTGATTGCAGACTATTTTCTTTATAGCATGTTGTAACAACTTCCTTGCTCCTAGAATAAGAGAGCCAAATGGATACATTTGTCCAGTTTTAGTCTAATCATGATTTATGTGTGGGATTGTGGGATGGTTATAGTAATATTTGCACAATTAAATTATTTCAGAAATTATGTTAAATTCAATATGGTAAAATCAATTTCAGGTTTATTCCTTAATTGATTATGAGTTTGGAAGTCTTTGTGTAAGATAATGGATTTATATCATAATCACATTATGGCATTCTGCATTTAGGTTAGTTTTTTTGAACCAACAATCCATTACAAGTGTGGCCATGAAAATGTGAGGTGGAAATGTTCAAAATAATTGGTCCCAATTTTGGCTTGATGAGATAAAATAGTGGCTGGGGCTGCCCAACAAAACCAGCATTTTAATTTGAAGTGTATTTATTTTGTTTATTACATTTATATCCCACTTTATGTCATTCAAGGTGGCATACTTAAGGTTTCTTTCATTGAAGTCCACTGATTTTATTAAGTATATTTAAAGAAGTAGTTCTGGAAAGAATGGTAGGAAATCCCAGGAAACAAAAGGATCATTTTAGCAGCCAATTATTACAGTCTCTACAGCCTTGCGCATTTGTGCTGATTTTGCTGTGAGGTGACATATATTGACATCCAATTTCTGCAACAAGATAATGAAAAATATGTAAAATATCTCTGAGAACTATAATCTTGCCTACAATTTTTTTCTTAGTGTTTTCTACAATAAGGCCTGTTTAATTATGGATTTCAGAATACTGGTTATTTCAACATCCAATATTATGCAAGCACTCTTCTAATTGCAACACCTTTTCCTTTTTTTCAAGTCCCTTTCCCAGACATGCACTAACTAAGTCTTAAGGGTTGACACAAGGAAGGAGAACCTATTTTGCAGATGGATGCTATTTCTCCAGACAAATGTAAACTTATACAGCTAGTCCTCGACTTATGACCACAACTGAGCCCAAATGTTCTGTTGATAAGTGAGATGGCACACACCCTTTCTTGCCATAGTTAAGTGAATTGCTGCAGTTGTTAGTAACACAGCTGTTAAGTGAATCTGGCTTCCTCATTGACTTCGCTTGTCTGAAGGTTGCAGAAGGTGATCACAACCCTGGGACAGTGCAACTGTCATAAATATGAGCCAGTTGCCAAGCATCTAAATTTTGATCACATCTATGCAGATGCTACAATGGTCGTAAGTGTAAAAAATGGTCATAAGACACTTTTTTCAGTGCTATTGTAACTTAGACTGGTCATTAAATGAACTATTGTAAGTTGAGTACCTGTAATAATGTTTGCATTTTGCAGTAAGCCACTTTATGGTTCATTTGGACTTGCTTAAGCAGCTTTGCTCTGATAGTTACAGTTAGTTCAACCAGTGATGGTTGAATGATGGGTTAGTAAAATATGCAAATAGATTAAAAACTTTATTGTCACTTTAAATGTACACTAATCAGCATTAAAATGAATTCTCGTTGCATTCTGCTTTCAAAAGAACTATTATGTATATACCTACATACACATATATGACAGAGAAACATCAGTCTAGTAGTTTGAATGTATACCTATACATGGCGGAAAAAAAGATTCCTACGAATTTACAAGACTGATGGCATAAGGAACAAATCAGGCTGACATATATAATGTTTCTCTAATATGAACATAAGTTACATTTCCACTACAAAACTTTTTTGGACTGGATGCCATTTCATTATATGATGGAGATAGGAATCGATCTTGAAAGCTTATGCCAGAATGAATACTTTGCTTCACCATGATGTTTCATCACAGTTTATCACATTTATAATCTCTGTGTAACAAACCCTGATTTATATTTAATAGTGTCATTTAACAGTTTGTTGATTTCATGTTCAAATATCTCTTTCCATAAGGAAAATAATTATTTTTATATTTTTAAAAATATATCTTGCAGCAATACAATAAGTATTTCTGCCAGTTTGATGATTTTGGAGTGTTCTATTCTTATATACTCATATGAATATAGCCTGGCCAAACAGTACAGTAGTACTATAGTACTACAAAAAGTAATTTTAGAGTGGCGCCTACAGCATGTGCTTCTTTCATTGATTCTTGCATACAATGTTAGATATCTTGTGAAGGTAAAATTGCCAAGTCATGGCTCTTTCATAACCAACCTTTGTAAGCAAATACCTGTGGGGATTATCAATTGGCCACGGAACTTTTTAAAGTTTTAAAACTTTTGTTGACTAAGGTGAAGGGGCAGGTAGGAGCATTTTATTTCCTTGAATATCTTCCTTTGAAGGATCTCATTTTCAAAAAGTAAATATATAGAAACGGTCCCTTTAGCAGCCAAATAGACTTTATTAAGGAAAGGAAAACAATGTGCTGGCTATACAAGCAGGTGCCTGGAGTGCAAATATTTAGGCTTCTCCAAAATGCAGAGTATGGTAGTGTCAATCAGAACAAGCTCTATATTTTTATTTTATTTTATTTTATTTATTAAACTTATATGGCTGCCCATCTCACAAATGTGACAAATGTGTCATACAAAACAATCATAAAATTAATTTTAAAAACATTCAAAGTACAAGTACAAAAATTAATATTGGTATAAAAAGCTAAAACAGAACAGATTATTGGTTTTTATATTTGAATACTGAATTTTATGTGTTTTTTCTATTGTTGTGAGCCGCCCTGAGTCCTTTGGGAGAGAGGGCAGCATACAAGTTTAATAAAATAAATAAAAAAATAAATAAATAAACAATGCCAACTAATCAAATTACCATTTCCTTGCATTTCCTAGGCTTTTTTACATAGGCAGGTTTTAAGGGAGTTCCAGAAGGGTGGTAGAGATCTAATCTCAAAGAGGATGATGTTCCAGAGGACAGGTGCCATGGCAGAAAAGGCAGATGTCCCATGAAATGGAACTTCTTCACAGATGGAATCTGCAACATACTACTTCTACCAGATCCAATAGGCTGGGAAGGTGTAATTGGATAGAGGTTGTCCCTTAAATAACCCAGTCCCATGCCATGAACCAGTACTTTGAAATGTTCGTGGAAGCAAACTGATAACCATTGCAGCTCATGAAGCAGAGGCGTAACGTGTACTCTAGGGCATTTTATACCAGATGAAGCTTCTGGATATTCTCTATAATTCAGCTACAAGGTGGTCTGTAAATAAAGGAACAGTTATTTAATCCAGAGTTGCTTAGATATTGGAAAGCATACACATTTAAATTATCTCTATGCTTGGTCAGCCAGATGTTTACACGGGATCTTGCATTTTTATTCACTATCAAGTCCTTCTTGAGAACCTGAGCAAATGTAATTGTCTGTCTGCCTGCCTGCCTGCCTGCCTGCCTGCCTGTCTAATTACACACACATACACATAAAAAAATGTAAAATCACAGCTGCCAGTTCTTTAGCTAGTATTGGCCTTCATACTCAAGTGTTCCTCCTAAAAGCATAGGATGTTGTAATGTATTGGTATAGCATATGTGACAATCCAACCAGTGTGGCCTTTTTTAATTGACAAATGGAAATTTTGTCAATACACACATTTTGTAAGTGTTATCCAAAAATTTTTCATATGGTATCCAATGTGTCAATAATCACTGGGTCTACCTTGGTTGATTTATGCCATAATCATTCAATTTCAATTTTCAGATCTTGATGTTTCATGTTTTTCTTCAGTTCTTTGTCTTCTAATCTACTGTCCCTTGGTGTTACCACCTCATTTATCCATACTTTCTTCTTTTCAATCATAGTTAAATCCGATGTGATATAAGACAAGACTATAATTATGTATTTGAAAATCCCATATTTTATCCACCTCATTTTTATTACTTTTCAGCTACCAGTATGTGTTCCTACCAATTTTTCATTACTGGTACAGGATAATTTTTACAGATGTTTCAGTGATTCATTTTGGTGACTGTATTTTGTTGTTTATAAGTTTTTGTGATCATCTTGCTCTTGAGTTTATGATCTGAAGTTTTTTGGGGGGGGTTACTTTTTTGCAAAATCTGACTTTGAATCAATTTGACAATTTTTTCAATTGTGACTTTGATTGCATTAGTTTAAATAATTTACTCGTGAGCAGCCAAAATCAAGCCTTTAGATTCTGTTTTTAATGTTACAGTTGTAAGCCAATACTACATTTTATCTTTATCTACTTTCACCTTGATTTTTGTAGATGTTGACCATGTAATGCTTTTCCTTGCCAGCATTCAGTTCATGTTTTATTGCAGTTGATGTATGTTTCTCATACATATTAAGTTCCAATTTTTAACCATATTTGTTCTTTGGTGTCTTACATAATCAGAAATGTCTTCCTCTTCTCAACTTCAATTCCCAACTTTTGCTTTAATGATTTTCTTTCTCTAGCACAATGGAAGCAATTTGAGTAACCTTATTTACATGCAACTGATGTAGATTCCATTTCTGAAACATGAATTGTCTCAGACACATCCAGCTGAAATTCAGGGCTGGTCCATTCACTAACTTTCAGAGTTAGTTGATTGAACTAATTTTGATCTTCCCATAACATGTTATCCCCATTCTTATTGATCCTGTTAGAGATGTTATACAAATAGGATGTTTGTACTGTAGTTGGAAGTCTCAGATCACAGTCTTTCACTGCATAGCTTATTGAAGCTTATTGAAGTGATTACATTCCATATATATCCAATTATTTTTGAAGAATAAAATTATTTTGCTCTTTTATCTTTCATTCAAAGAAACTAAAAATTCAGGGTTGATGTTGTGAGACAGGATACACAAAGCATATAGAAGTACAAAACATGTACACTTATAATGAATTAACTTGCTTTAAGAGCAGATTTTGGGCTTAATTAAAAAGTTAAGCTGGAGATGAATCAGAACTTCATGTGTTTTCTTTCCATTAGCTCACAATGTCTAAAAAAATCAATGGAGGCTCTGTGGTTGAGATGCAAGGGGATGAAATGACCCGTGTGATATGGGAGCTGATTAAGGAGAAGCTGATCTTTCCCTACCTGGACCTGGATCTTCACAGGTATATCTTCTATACTGTGAGGAAAATGCAGCTTATGTGTGTTTTTGCTAAGTGTTAGTTCTGGTACTTGAAAAAGTCTGAAGAAATAACACAATTTATATTTCGTGTGTATATTTTCAAAACTGCCTCCTTGCTCTTCAAATTGTGACATTCCCTAACCAAACCTTTACTTTAAAACTGGAAGGTTCAGGTACATGAATTGGCCTGAAGATAAGAATCTGTTTTCACATTGCAGCATTCATTCAGATGCTGTTACGAAGCCCAACTACTTCCAAGGCTGTCTTGTGGCTTTAAATTAACCAAATTAACTGAATGGTCACCATTTGTTCGTGTGTTTTTTAAAGTGCCATAACCATCAGAGAAATGTAATAGATTCCATCACTGCACTATGGAAAATAGCTTCTTAATAAAAGCTTTTTCCCCCAGCCCACAAGTTAGAAGGTCCTAGCAACAGCATTTTTTGGTCATGTTCCCATTATGTTGCCTTCATTACATCCCAGCCTTGATTGTGACAGGTTTAAATTTAAATTATCCATATAGAGTGGCCATTTTTCCTCTTATTCCCATAAAGTCTAAGGGCTGTCTGAAGGTGTATAAACTCTGTTAAGCTTTGTAACCCATTAACTTAGAAGGAACTCTGCAAACTGCAGTGAGTTGAAAAAAGTTAGGTATTTACAATGGGGACAACAGCTTTCATGCTAATATAATTTTCTGCTAATTCAAAGAAGGCTAGTACAAGTCAACTGTGGAGAGTTGTAAACCTGCATCCTTTCTTTTGGACTCCATTTAGTTCAGATATTCCATAAACCTTCAGAAGCTACAGTGGCAGAGGTGACATCACATGGCATTTAATCAATTAGCTGTTCTATTGGTTATCAAGGCCATTAAAGGAACCCCCTTGATAAAAGGACAGCAAGTTCTTTTAATTGCATCAACCATAAACGAAAGCCAGAACATTTTGAACTTTTCCCTACTTTCTCCCATACTTTGTTCCCAGAAGGCTAAAGGAAGGTAGGCGATCACTTGTCTAACAAGATGTGCTGTTTTGCAAGTGCTGAAGCTGCTAAAATACTACATGGGTCTGATTTCTATGACATAGTGGAGCCCAGATAATATATTTTTATTTCTTTTTTGTCCTTCTCTTAAAAGGGCAAATATTCTAACCAATACAATTTAGGGCAATACCATTGGTTTATATAGAATTTAGTGCATATATTAGTGATATTTTCTAGTATTCCTTTCTTTAAAATTCCTGCAGTTTACTTTGTATGTAACACTAATAAACTTCAGTATTAAAGTGTTTATTTAAATTGTTTATATGGCCACTTATTTCATAACAGTGATTCTGGGCAGTGTACAAGTATTAAAACAAACCACAGCATACAACCAATGACACCCAAGGATAAAACAAATTATTTCAGTCACAGAAAAGGCACATCACAGCAGCAAGATTCATCTAATTTCCTGAGACCTAAGATCCTGTGCAATTGTTGAAGTTTTCCCAAGAGGCAGTCTAGATCTTAAGCAATTTGAATAAATTATCCTTGTTAATAACCCACAAGATTATTTCTTTTGCTTTTTTGATTCAGAGTCCAAACTATCCTATTTTCCACTCCACTCCTCTATTATTATACAAGCAATGCAATAAACCCTTCTGTCTATAAACCCTGCCCTGCTGCAACTTTGTGTAAGAGTATTAAAGTTACTGACTCTACTAAGTAATTGTGCATTATTCTTTCAAATCAGTCTGACGTTTGGAGATAAAGGCAGTAAATAACACTGCACTGATTTTTTTTTTAAAGATATTGCTCTTTCAGTCCAGTTTGCAGTACAAACACAAAGTTCCTTTGAAGGGCTATTGGACACCACTGAGATTTTGTCTTTCAGTAATTAGTATGAGTTACCCATAAAGTCACTAGGAGTCCAGGTTGACTTGATTCATCTAGCAGATTGAACATCAGCTTTTTTTTCCCAGAAACAGCTCCAGCTCTTTCTCTCTCTCAGCTTCCTGTGGCAGACTTTGCTCTGGAACTGATTTATCAAAGCTGTTTTAAAATGTTTGGAAAAGAAGACATTCTCTTTTGCCACTAGCTTTGGAGTTTGGATAGGCTTACTAGTGCGTTGCCTTCACTGGACTTAAATCTTGAGATTCTCCATGGATTTCTGTGGCCAGATCTTGCCTCCTTTCCAGGGATGCTTTAAAAATAGTTTCTTAGTACAGTATAAATCTGGGAGATGGAGCCATTCGTAAATGAAGTGACTATGTGGTTATGGTTAAATGTCATTTATTGGGGACTTTCTTTGCAGCTATGATTTGGGCATTGAAAATCGTGATGCAACAGATGATATGGTTACAGTGGAAGCTGCTAAAGCTATAAAGAAATACAATGTAGGAATCAAGTGTGCCACAATCACCCCTGATGAGAAGCGTGTAGAAGAGTTCAAGCTAAAACAGATGTGGAAATCACCTAATGGAACCATTCGAAACATTTTGGGGGGCACTGTCTTCAGGGAAGCCATTATCTGCAAAAACATCCCCCGATTAGTGTCTGGATGGACAAAACCCATTATTATTGGCCGCCATGCTTATGGTGACCAAGTGAGTATCTTGAACAATATTTTATGTTTATCCTTTAACTTGCATGACTTCTTACCACCATTAGAAATCTTGATTAGAGAATACATGTAATGGGGGGAGCAAAATGCAATCTGGTTTACAGCATTATATTAATTGTTATAAAGCATGCATGTAATAGCATTTAGGTTAGAATAGATGAGTAGCAAATTGCAAGTTTGGCTAATGATTAAAATATACTGCTCAAAAAATAAAGGGAACACAAGCAGAAGACATCCGAGATCTGAATGAATGAAATAGCCTTATTAAATACTGTGTTCTTTACATACAGTAGTTTATACACTGCTCAAACAACTAAAGGGAACACAAAACTACTGTATGTAACGAACAAAGTATTTAATAAGGCTATTTTATTTATTCAGATCTTGGATGTCTTCTGCTTATGTTCCCTTTATTTTTTTGAGCAGTGTAGTTTGAGCCTTTTTTCAAAATAGCATTGAAGTTTCCAGTTTTACTATATAGGAAGCCATTTAAGGAGTTATCTTCTTTCCCACAGCCTCAAGGCACAGCAATAGAAATTGTTTCCAAATAGATATGGTACATTATGACAGGTTTTGTGTAGAAGAACGTTTCATCAAAATTGGTACTGTTTTTTGTTTTGTAGTACAGAGCTACAGATTTTGTGGTTCCTGGCCCTGGAAAAGTAGAGATGACATACACACCAGTGGATGGAAGCAAACCTGTAACTTATTTGGTCCATAATTTTGAAAGTAGGTATTTTGAATTAAAGAAAGTGTTGATCAAAAAATGGCTGGTTGTGGAAAATTGGTGAAGACTATAAGAAATGACAGTAAACTAATCAGTTATCTTCCTGTAAGCTTTTGTATGAATTAGATAATTGGCACTTGAGGGTCAAACTACTAAATAATGGAAAAGTGGGGTCCATAATCGAGATTAGCAACTGGAATCAATTACATCTAAGCCTCTATGAAGTACTCTTTGGCCAATTTCCCAGGTGCTTATCTGAAAATGTAAATGTAGAGGGATTAATAACAATATGGATTTGGAACTGACCACCAGTCTGCTGGGTGGATGAGAAATCTCATTGTTACCTTCTCATAAAATCTGTGCTTGGTGTAAGAAATGTGCAGAAAGTAATTTTCCTGGATTTTTTAATAGATTCTGTTATCACTATTGCGTCTTTTTATCCTTTTCACTATCTCCACCTCTTTTTTCAGTGGAAAAAACAGTTGAAAATTAGAGTGATCCAAGATTGCTTTGATGTTGCACAAATAGCTATAAAACCGACTTCAGTAATTGTGAAACCTGTTGGAACAGTGGTTGTGAAACCTCATGCATCTAAATCTGCCTTACTTTATAGAAATCATGCAGTCTTCTGGAGGGGATAGCCATACCAAATCTAACAAAATTAAATATAGCTTGAAGAATTTCTACAATTCATATACTATTCTTTAATGCCTATACTTAAAAAAAGAAGAAAAGAAAAACAAATACTGAAGTATTCTAATTTATGCTTGGTAAAGGAAATCTTCACATGCTTTCCAGGTCCTTTTAAAAGAGCCTTCCCCAATATGTCTTCTAGTGTATGGAACTACAATTTCCATAATTCTGAATAAGCCTAATCTCTTACTGGAAATAGTGAAAACTGCCTTTAAAATACATTAAAAGTGGGAAAGGATGCTTTAGAGACAAATCTGGAAAATGCTAAGGGCAAATAGGCACAAATAGTGTCTTCATAATCAGTTCCTTTGAAATGCTGAAATAATCTCTGAAGTAAGAGAAGTATATTTCTGTAGAAACAGGTCATAAAATGGAGCAGTAAGTGAAGCATTATAGGAAGAATTACAAAGGTAACCTTGAGATCCCTTACTTTTGAACCATTTAAAATATTGGTCTGACATTCTACATACTGTATGGAAAGTTTCATAATATCTTATGCATGAATTACAAAAATCTTAATAAAAGTTTTGCAGTTTAGGAAGATAACCTGGATAACAGAGAATATCTTGTGATATGCAAGGAATTTCCATGTCTCCCATTTCTGAATCCCCTCTCTGAATTTGAGTTGGCCAGTGTTGGGCATAGATAACAATACTGACTTACTTGGTTGAGTATTGTACTTAGGAGAATACTTTCAACATTCAGGGGGACTTATACTACAAGGGTGATATATGTATTGTAGTAATAGTAACCTGAAAAATCTTTCTTGAAGACAGTTTGAAGGCTTACATTCACCTATCCACAACATTGTGGCCAGATTCCTTATTTTTATTTGTGATGACCAAGAATATTTTAGGTTGATACTACAGATTCTCTGTGGGAAATAATACAATTGCTTTGTTGCATTCCGGTCTTTATGTAAATAAGACACATTTATATAAGATGTGAGCCAAATTCCTTTCATGTTTCCTGTATATATTTCCCTTAATCAGCAGGATATGATTGTATTAACTGGTAGACATACAATGTTTCATATCTGTGCAACTTAATAAAACATGCATTAAGAAATAAAGAACAACTGATGGCTATGGCACAGCCAATAAAATTGCTCTAGTATGTATACTGCTTTACATTGGAGCCATGAATAAACAGTTGTATGCTGTGTGCCAACTGGTACTGAGTGACAAGTACAGGCTGGTGCGTGACTGAAAAAACTCCAGGCATATTATATCTTTGTGTTTCATTCCCAGCTAATGTAATTACACGCTTCTCAACTTGGCAATTAGAGGCCATAATTTTAACAGCTTCCAGGTAGTAATTCCTAAGTTTCTAACAGTATTCCTGTAAAATAGACCAATGTTACTCCCAATTGTTATCTTTGGATCATATTGCTATAGTAATGTTCATTTCTGAGCTTTACCTTTGGATTTTGTTACTTTTATGAACATTTTAGAGTGTTTTTTCTTTGTAGATGTTACTAATTTATTTCATTGTAATTTTATTAGACTAATTAGAATAAAAACTAATACAAACTGAAAAAAATAAAAGATGGAGAAAAGAAAGAAAAGGGGGAAATAGAGAAATAGAAAAGAAAAAAATACAGAAGCTTCCTATCTTCATCACAAGTACAAGTAATTCTCTACACAACCACAATTGGGATCAGAATATTTATCCCTAAGTGATGCAGTCACTAAGCGAGTTATGTGACTGGATCTGATTTTATGAATATTTTTACTATAGTTGTTAAGCAAATCACATGATTGTTAAATGAATCATGTGGTCATTAAGCAAAATCAGGTTCCCCAATTTGTTTGTTGGAAGCATCTGAGGTTGCAAATAGCGATCATATGACCACAAGATGCTGCAACCTTTGTAATGGCAGTAGCATTATGAATAAGTCCAGTATAGGTTTATCACGCCAGATAGGAATTGGTTTATAAATACAGTAAGCCTTTTTTACTGACATTCCTGAGTTAGTGTGTGATCTGTTCTGCATCATTTTGGAAACCAGTTTTTGCTCAGCATTAGTCTGCCTTTCTTCATAATATTAGTTCTAATTCTGCTCAGTAGTGGCATGTTCCTTTTGAGAGTTCAACAGGATTCAAATGACCAAAACAAATGTGGCTTCAGATATATTTCATAATTTGCTATAATTTAGAGGAAATGAGGGGCCCGATGTTTCTTGGCTGCAAACTTTAGCCGATTAAAGATTTCACATGACAAGCAAGTGAATTCTAATTTCTGCAGTTTTTGTTTTATTCTTTCTGACTTGGAATCATGAATATGAAGGGAGGCGCGGTTGCTCAGTGGCATAATGACACTGGAGATGCTGTTCCGGTGATTTGAGTCCTAGCACTGTGTGTCGGGGTGAGCTCCTGTCATTCACCTCAGTTTCTGTCGACCTAATGGTTCGAATAAATGTTCTACAGAAGTATAGAAGTAGATAAATAGGTACCAATTTTGGTGGGAGACGAGTTGGTGCTTTATACAGGCAATCAGATTCCTGCCAGTTCTGAACTTTCCCAGTTGTGGCACCCAGTTATGAGGTGGCTCTGGAAAGACAGGGGGCCTTGGATAATGCTGCATGAAGAGCCACTTGTCTTTCTTTCTAGTGCGAAGCCAGTTCAGCCTCCTATGACGCACCTTGGGAAGCATGCAGGCATGTCCTACAACAGAGCTGGTAAATTGACAGCCAAACTATTCTGCACAGTTAGTATGTAACTGTGGTTTCCTGGCTAATGTAACAATATATACACTAATAATAATGGATATGAACATCAGTGAGCAACTTGGTATTACATGTAGTAAAGAGTTTTGTTGCCTGTTTGGAGCCTTATGGTTACATGACATAAGGAAATTTTCATCTATGATAGCTAATATACAGCCAACTAGTGATATGAATTGGTTATCAATCAAGCCTTGAAAATACTGTTCATATGAAAGAAAAAAGACTGTGAACTCTTGTGCTGTTACGAAGCAAAAGTTTGGTTACATGCTCTCTTCACTTCATATTTCTCTTTTCGGTGATGCAGGCTGCGGAGGTGTGGCTCTGGGGATGTATAACCTTGACCAATCCATCAAGGACTTTGCCCACAGTTCTTTCCAGATGGCATTGTCTAAAGCCTGGCCTCTCTACATGAGCACCAAAAATACCATTTTGAAAAAATACGATGGGCGCTTTAAGGATATCTTTCAGGAAATCTACGACAAGTAATAATACTTTATTACATATTTTCACTTGCAGGGCTATCTCTTAGAAAAACTCTACTATTTTTTGTAAGCTTTCATAATGGAGTAATAATTCCTGACTCTGAAACTTTATTCTCAGAAACTTTTTTTAAATGAATTCTTCAAAATTAAATGCAGAAGATACTGAACCAATTGTGGATATTAAACTATGAACAGAAGGGGATTACGAATATAAAATTAAGAAAACTGCAAAGTTGCAGTATATTTACTGTGCATGAGTGGTTCACAAAGTGTGAATGAAACTAACTTGTTTTCCCAATCTGTTCTTAGTTGCTTAAAACAGCTCTCTATATTGAAAAAAAAGTTGTTTGCTCAGATAAAATGCCCACCTCCCAGATGACATTAAATACAGAAAAGAAATGTTGTAGTGAAAGAATTTAAAGTTCCTCTCCTACTTTCTTTTTATGAAAAGAGTTTCGAAAGCATGAGATATGCCAGACCTGTGACAAACACAGATAACATTCAGTTTTCTTTCCCCTCCAGAGAGTACAAGTCAAAGTTTGAGGCCAAAAACATCTGGTATGAGCATCGACTAATTGATGACATGGTGGCTCAAGCACTAAAGTCTGAGGGAGGATTTATCTGGGCATGCAAGAACTATGATGGTGATGTGCAGTCTGACTCAGTTGCCCAAGGTATGTTTAATGCCTCTAATGCATTGATTTTCATAGCATGATAACTAGCCAGATATATAGCTTTGCACAGAATAAATACAAATATAAACAGAATCACCTTGCTTAGTTTTTATTCTGTCTTATAAGTCAGCTCAATGCAGTATTTCAGCAAAGGCCAACCAAATGTCTAGAGCAGTGATGGCTAACCTTTTTGCCGTCGTGTGTCAAAAGCGGGGGGGAGCGCGGGGGGAGGGTTGCACATGTGCGTGCCCGCACCAATAATTCAATGTGCCCGGGCCCTCCCCCACACACATGCACTTGCGGCCCCCCAGCATTCCCCCACTTTTGGCATGCAATGGCACAGTTCACTCCTGATGTCAACATGGGTATGTCCATGTAGTTCTCTTGAAGATAGCCATTGTCATAATCTAGAACACTTTTTCCAGCTTCCTTATCTAGCCTATAACCTTAAGACATGTATCCAAGGAACAATTAGGCTCTCTGTTGTTTATCTTTCGATAAATATGAGATCGCCTTCGTATTTTCGATAAATATGAGATCGCCTTCTATGAGATAAATATGAGATCGCCACCAATAGCCTCACACCGGCCAATACGCTCCCACAGAGCGGGGCTCCTCAGGGTGCCGTCAGCCAAACAACGTCATCTGGCGACACCCAGGGGGAGAGCCTTCTCTGTGGGGGCACCAGCCCTCTGGAATGAGCTGCTCCTAGAGGTTCATATGATCCCCAACCTGCGTATATTTCGCTGCGCCCTTAAGACTCTTTTGTTCCAACAGGCCGGGCTGGCTTAATATGAATTTTAAATTGGGTGTTTGTTAGTTTTTAACTTTGTGGGCCAAATTTTATATATTCGTTTTAAATTGTTTTTAAATTTTGTGAGTTTATATGTGTTTTAATATGGCTGTACACAGCCCTGAGTCCTTTGGGAGAAGGGCGGTATAGAAGTTCAATCAAATCAAATCAAATCAAATCTTTCGCAAGATCAGCTAGGTTTGACTAGGTAGTGCCACCTTCTGGGAATTTAAATTACAAAGAAAGGCAAATAAATTCTAAGCACTAGCAAACAGCTGATGAAAATTATCATCATCCCACTTAGGCAATCATGCTGAACAGCAGTATGCTCCAGAACTTCAACTATCTTACTCAAATTTGTAAAAGAAGGATGCAAGGTAATACTATACTTATAGGTGCTCTCGCTAACAGTATAATTCCAAATACAGGTAGTCCTCGACGTACAATCACAATTGAACCCAAAATTTCTGTTGCTAAGAGAGACAGTTGTTAAGTGAATTTCAGTTGTTAAGTGAATTTGCCCCATTTTACAAGCTTTCTTGTCAAGGCCATTAAATGAATCACTGTGATTCGTTAAGTTAGTAACACAGTTGTTAAGTGAATCTGTCTTCCCCATTGACTTTGCTTGTCAGAAGGTTGCAAAAGTTGATCACATGGCCCCAGGATATTGCAACCGTCATGAGTCAGTTGCCTAGCATTTGAATTTTGATCATGTGATCATGAGGATGCTGCAACAGTTTAAGTGTGAAAAACTGTCATGTCACTTTTTTCAATGTTGTCATAACTTTGGACAGTCACTAAATGAATTGTTGTAAGTTGAGGACTACCTGTATGTCACTGTTAGTTAAGGAGCTAACCTTATTTGAAAAGGGAAGGAATGGCCGTATGTAGCTCATGTTAAAAGAGTGCATTGCTACAAAATTACTGGGCAACCATATGATTTTCTTAATGTTGGCCATTAAAACTATACAATTAACATATTCAGGAGGTTTACAGAAGTCTTGACAGAAGTAGCTTTGTGTATAATTCATTAGGTAGCTTCAGCTCATAATTATAGTTTTATAATTGTTCTTTTTTGAGAATAATATAAACGCTGAAAATTCAGCATTTGGTCTACATCACCTCTTCCCTAATACTGCTGATGTTTCTTTGGATTTGTTAATGTCTGAAGCCTGGTTTATATGCTACATCTTCCAAGTGAAGTTAAGACCGGTTGCTTTGGGGGTGGTGTAACACATAATTATTGTGTGATAATAAATTTGCTCACTTCTTACTGGAAAGGTATTATTCTGCCTATAAAATTTATATTTTCACATATATTTTCCAAAAGCACACATCAAATTTCTGTTTGAATCAAATCAGGTTTAGTGTAACAAACTTTTTTTTATTCTTGAATAAACAAGAATGAAATTGTAAAAAAGTTTACTTCCCATAACAGTTATCAGTAATGCCAGATAATCACTCCTCCCACCCCCAAATTGATAGTTTTCCTAGCATTTTAGATAAAAATAAGTAGTCAGGTTAGTTGGGTTTCCTCTGTCTGCTTTTTAAACCTGCTGGGGTCAAGAGTTGCCAAACAAGGAGTGATACATTTTCAAGTGCCCTAATTGCCTGGTTCATTCTCCTGTCTAGGTTATGGATCTTTGGGGATGATGACAAGTGTCCTGATATGCCCCGATGGCAAAACTGTTGAGGCTGAAGCTGCTCATGGCACAGTGACTCGTCACTATCGCCTGCATCAGAAAGGCCAAGAGACCTCCACTAATCCCATAGGTAAGTAGGTTCCACCATTCCCAGTCTAACCTAGATAGTGTCTTGAATAAATGTCACAGCATAGCTCCAATGAACCTTTGAAATCATTAAGGCCTATTAGCAAAAACATTGACTCAAAATTAATCCTGTGGGCCTATCAGATTACATTTAAAAATATGGAATGTTTTCATTATATATGTGGCTATTACTACGTCATTTATGGTGTTAAATTGAAATAAATATAAAAGCCAAACTTGTTTCCAGGATTGAAGCAATCTTTAACCAGTCTCTAATTATTTAACTGGTGTTAATCTTATGAACGCTATTCAAGGGAAGAGATTCCAAGTATGGGAAGTAGGAGAATTCTTACCACCTTTGGTAAGAACCAAAGCTATGTAACCACAGGCTACTCTCTAAAATCTGCTCAAGAACAAAGTGGAATTACTTCAGTGAACATTATCAATAGTCATATTGAACAATCAACAGATTGTTAGGTTCTCTTTTAGATTGAGAGTATAGAAAAAAAATAGTGTAGGCAATACTGTTTGAACAGTGTTGTTGAGTTCTCTCTTCCTATTTTCCTAGCATCCATCTTTGCCTGGACCAGAGGTCTAGCTCATAGAGCAAAATTAGATAACAACAAAGATCTCCAGAACTTTGCTTCAGTCTTGGAGGATGTCTGTGTAGAGACAATCGAAGCTGGTTTCATGACAAAAGATTTGTCTGCTTGCATTAAAGGGCTGCCTAAGTAAGTGATCTGTTTCAGAGAAATACCTGAATATTTAAAATGTTTTAAAATTTATTTAGTTATTTAATGAATGTATAGGCCATCCATTTCACATAACTCTGGGTGACTAAAATGTCCTATCTGTTTTTCAAATTTTTTTAATAAATACACTAATTGTCTAATAATAAAAATCAAATCAAAAATCATTTAAAAGATTGGAGACAACTACATTATAAAATCTAATGATTGCAATGCTTTTTCAAGATCAATTGCAGCCAATGTCTCTTCTATATTTTAAGAAAGATTTAGGACTGTATGTGCTAATGTAACTAGCATTTGAAAGATAACCTATTTATTATATGCTTTAGTTACAAGTACAAAGTCAAGAAATTATTCAAACTGCTAAGTATGAGTTTTTAAGAGTTTCACCCACACAAAAAAAACCCCCAGACAAACTAAATTATATCTAACACAGTTTTTTGAAAATGTAAGATACATGTACCCATTGATTACAGGTTGTCCTCATCTTACAACAATTGAGCCCAAAATTTCTGTTGCTAAGTAAGACAGTTAAATGAGTTTTGATCCATTTTATGACCTTTCTTGGTATTGTTAACTGAATTGCTGTTAAGTTAGTTAACTTGGCTGTTAAGTGAATCTGGCTTCCTCATTGACTTTGTCAGGTCACAAAAGGTGATCACATAACCCTACGACAACCATCATGAGTCAGTTACCAAATACCTGAATTTTGATCACATAACCATGGAAATGTTGCAACAGTTGTGTGAAAAATGGTCATACATCACTTTTTTCAGGGCCATTGTAACTTCGAAAGGTCACTAAACAAATTGTTGTAAGTCAAGGTCTACCTGTATAAAAAATAGATACCTTGTTAGAGCATTTCTTATACTCTTGAATTTACACTAATGTTTTGCTTTGTTTTAATCACAGTGTGAAACGCTCTGATTATTTGAACACATTTGAATTCTTGGATAAACTTGCTGAAAACCTGAAGACAAAATTATCTTCTCAGCCAAGATTGTAAGAGCTGGGCTTGAAGTATTTGCTCTGGAAAGACAACTGTCTCGTGGATGGATGAATGACTATATTATGTATTATGTATATACATACATATATACACATACATAGAAGAAATAAGGGTAGCACTTCAAAAAGTAAGAAATCAACCTGAACCTTGTAATGATCAAAGTCTCTCACCCTCTAGCTTTCTGTAATGTTAAGAGAGGGAAAGGTAACAGCAGAACCGATGTTTCTCTCTATGGAAAATAGCTTTTTCCTGGTCAGGAATTAGGGGAATTAATATTTGTTTAAGGGGAATGGGCTCTAAATTAAGTCATGTTTAAGAATTTTACTTTCTAATTCATTAGGTTATATACAAAATGCAGAAGATCCTTCTGACAAACCATTTTAATGAAACTGAAAAACATCCAGCTTGATATGGGTAATGCTCTAAGAGGATTTTAATTACTTGTGGTGGGGAAGAAGGGAAAAATATTTTACAGGAAACTTTATTATGACATATAGCCTTGTACACAGTACAGGCAGAAACAATCCTTTCATTTCCTTACATCTGGGAGTTGACTAAAGAGAAAGAAAAGCTGCTTTCTGCTTACACATGTAGGTTAAGATGGAGCATTTCAAACTAACTTGTCACCCAATTTGGATTGGTGCTAGCATTGGTTTTTAAAGCAGGAAATAAACACTAATACCCATTCTTGTGTCCTGTGGTCTGTGAACTGTAACTTAAAATCCAGCAACTTACACATTTCTTCTGCCACTTGAAAGGATATAGAATGTTCAGTTTAAAAAGGCTGGACAAGTTTTAAACCAGTGCACAACAGACTAAGATATACGAGTGCAATAGTGCCATCTTGATATGTAATTATGAGCATCTCTTGTCCCCTAGGAACCTGGAAAAAATTGGGAATTGCAGATTACATTCAACTTTTCTATAGGGTAGGCATTGCTGTTGGACCTGTGACAGAACTGAAAATATGATGTACATTTCCAAATTAAAGTGTACACAGCCATCATCACAAAACATCCATTGATGGAAGGCAAAATACCAAGATGGGAACCATGGTGGGAACACAGTTTCTAGTCTCCAGGATGCTCAATTCACATTTACCTTTTTTTCCTGTCCAACAGTTCTCATTCTCAACCAAGCACAGAATTGCAATCATCATCTAATTTTTAAAAAATGTGTGATAGAAATCATATATGGGCAACACATTGGATTTGCTCCACTTTTTCCAGAAAATTTATCATAATGTTGTACATGCCACATCAGAAATAGAAAAGGATTAGGTAAATTAGATAAAATGTTTGCATACAAGAATCCAAAATAAGCTATTCTATTTTGAATTCTTTGGAACTATGTTCAAAGAATAGTATGTTAAATGATTGTGGGGTGGAGGAGGAAACAGTGTTACTGAAGTACTTTGTGACACACCAAATGCCCATTTAATTTAAAAAAATTAGGAAATTGAAAGTAATACATAGGGATAAGCCTTTGCAAAAAAATTGCAGCTTTTAAGCCTTCACTGAGTTTATACTTACCTTGAAATGTATCTACCATTTCATGGCCTATTGATTGATGGAAAAATCATATTAACTTATTTTTAACATCTTGAAAAATGTGGTACAATTGCGTTTGCCTGCCCCCACAACAAATTCTGAAGAAGTAGATCTAGATTTGAGATGGAACATATTTTAACATCCCTCCACTGGGAAAACTCTGTTACTACTTTCTCCTTGTGTAATATTTCTGTTAAAAAAAAGATGACAGTAACTTCCAAAAAAATAAAGCTGTCTTAATTATACATTCAAGGTTTTAAAATACAGTGGAAGCTAAACTTAGTATCCTTTCTTTGAGAACAAAGATAAGATTCATTTGGATATTAAAAATATCATTTACAATTCTATCGATTTAAGAAGTGAACAATTTTACACCAATTACTGAAACATTATTTCAAAAACTCTGAATACATTAATCTGTCATACAACAAAATAATACTCCATAATGTATTTTTATATTTTTTTTACACTGTTTTCTACATGAAAATAAGTTGTGATTACGTGAAATCTGCTTTCCAAGCAAAATGAACTTTTTGACTTTCTTATTTTCCTTTACAGTACTTGGATTACTCTACTCCTCTGATGTTTCATAAAGCTTTAAAGTCACACTTCTGCTGCAGTAAATAATAACCATAATGATAATAATACAGAAGACATGCAAGGGGATAGAATACCTGCTTTTAGTTTTCATGTTATTTTGACATTTTAGCTAGCTTACATATAGGTCTTCTAATGCATCTTGAAATAGAATAAATCTGATGTAATTCAATAGATCTAGTTTGAGAAACAAATATTTGTAGAAAAGAATTTTATTTTTAAAATGAAATAGCTAAAACTAGGTGAATTAAGAAAAAAACTCATACCTAGGAAACAATTGTTACTCTTTGTCTAAAGACTAATCACCAAATCTAAGCTGAATTTATTTTTTTTATGTTCTTTTCCTGGACATTTCAGTTCCTTTTGTCAAGTTCTTCTTTTTTGTTTTGTAGATGGGGGAATTGAGGAAGTCAGTCACTGTAAAGGGGTCACCACGCCTCAGTTTTCTGCAGGAAAGAAACATATAATTTGTTATAAATACTCTATTGACTTCATATCCAGAAAACAACATCCAATTTGTACATTCCAACTAAAAAACATACGTGGAGTAAAATGCAAAACTAACCTATTCAGGCTAGGCTCTGCATAGGAAACATCTTTTTTTCTTCGTCGGCTTGGATATATTGGAGAAGTTTCAAGAGGGATTGAATTGGTCAAATCTTTCAGTATTTTGTTTCCTGTGAATAGAATAAGGTAACTAACCAGTGCTTATGATATGTCAATATTTCAAGGTGAATTCAGTTACTAAGCAGCTGTAGATTAGGTAAAAGATAAAAGTTCCCCTCGCACATACAGTATGTGCTAGTCGTTCCCGACTCTAAGGGGCAGTGCTCATCTCTTTCAAAGCCAAACAGCCAGCGCTGTCCGAAGACGTCTCTGTGGTCATGTGGCCAGCATGACTAAATGCCAAAGGCGCACGGAACGCTGTTACCTTCCCATCAAAAGTGGTCCCTATTTTTCTAATTGCATTTTTTACGTGCTTCCGAACTGCTAGGTTAGCAGAAGCTGGGACAAGCAATGGGAGCTCACCCGTTACATGGCACTAGGGATTCGAACCGCTGAACTGCCGACCTTTCGATCTACATGATCAGCATCTTAGCCACTGAGCCACTGCATCCCTCTGTAATTACTGTTAAACTGCAGATTACTATTAAGTAAAAGTTTAAGAGTATTTTTTTTTCATTTTTTAACTATCTATACCTGTGATGGCGAACCTGTGGCATGCAGTCATCTCTGCGGACACACGAGCCAACACCCAGGTCAGCTCTACCGCACATGCCTGAGCGCATCCCGCCGGCCAGCTGATTTTCAGGTCTCTGCTGGGAGATGCACATGCATGGGGGGGGGACAGGGGAACATGGGTTACACATGCATGCGTGGGGGGCAGGACCTGTGGGGGGCATTGCATTATGGGTGTTGGCACGCACGCGCATGCGTGTGCATGCTTTTGGCACCCGAGGAAAAAAAGGTTCACCATCACTGCTCTATACTATAGCCCTAAGCCTGTTAATTGGGAGTAAATCTGAATAATTTCTGAGTAAATGTATCTAGAATTATACAATATTCTACAGCCATGGTCTTTCAAACAACACAGTAGTTTGAATTATTAGTTACCAATAAGGTATTACTAGTTGCTATTGTTCACCTCTTTCCAAGGAGATGAACAGAAGTCCTAGAGCAGGGGTGTCAAACTCAAGGCCCAGGGGCCAGATTCGGCCCAGGAAGTGCTTAGATCTGGCCCGCAGGGCCGCACTAGAAACAGCAAAGGACTGGCCCATGGTGCTTCTGCTAGTGAAAACAGAACTTAGGAGAGCCGCACGTGGATCTTCCCTAGCTCCATTTTCACTGGCAGAGGGTTGCAGAAGGATGTCGCACCCAAAAACGAAGCTTGGGAGCCCGTTTTCTGTGGCACAGCACTTGGGCCACCACAGGCGCCCTCAGTGCTAGTGAAGTTGAGCTGGCCACGCCCACTCTGGCCATGCCCACTCCACCCCCCGAGGTCAAACACAACCCTGATGTGGCCCTCAATGAAATAGAGTTTGACACCCATGTCCTAGAGTAAGAAAGGACCTAAGAAGTCATCAAGTCTAACCCCCTGCTGGATTCACTACACCATCCCTGAAATATGTTTATCCAACTTCTTTTTTAAAACCACCTCAGAGGGGAAGAAACTACTTCATGTTAATAACTTATTCTACTGGCTAACAGCTCTTACTGTAAAAAGTTACACATAGTCCTTAGTTTATAACCACAATTAAAACCAAAATTTCTGTTGTTAAACAAGTTATGCCCAAATTTATGATCTCCTATGCCACTGTTGCTAACAAAATCATTGCAGTTGCTAAGTGAATCATGTCATGAGTCATTAAGCGAGTCCGATTTCCCCCATTGACTGCTTGCTGGAAGCCAGCTAGGAACATCGCAAATGGTGCAACTACAGCTGTTGCAAATGTATGCTGGTTGTCAAGCATCCAAATTTTAATTGTTTTCATGTGGATGCTGCATTGGTTACAAGTGCAACAAACGGTCACTTTTTTCAGTGCCACTGAAACTTTGAATGGTCACTAAACAAATGGTTGTAAATCAAGGACTACCTTATTTCTAATCTCTAATCTGCATCTACATCCTTGAATTTTCATCCCATTCGTTCAACTCTTTACTGTTTGGAGCAAGTAAAAATTGGTCCAAACCTACAATGTGAATATCTGAAGACAGCTATCAGGCCCTCTCAACTTTCTCTTCTGCAAGTTAAATAAACTTCGTAGTTTAACGTTCTTTATTAATATGAACCTATTTTTCATATTTAGGATACTCTTTGGGTATGTACCTTTCTGGCCACACTCCTCTCAAGCAGAAATACAGTAACCAATTGCTACAGGGCCAATTGTGTAAAGCCTGAGTTAATCTGCTCAGATTATTTAATAATGGTAGAAAGTTCCTATATGGACAGCCTTTAACTGCCAGTAATGTCATTTTAGAAATATTTTTAAGGACAATGAATCTGACAAAAAAACGAAGTTAAATTAAGAAATAAAATAAGAATTCAGGTGACAGTTCTTAACAAGTCACTGTATTTTATAGTTTGTAAAGCAATAGATAAATGTAGAAATGAAATTTTTATCTAAAAGATTAATTAAAATTTATCTTAAAAATTAATTTATACACATTTATGTTAATTTGTTCTGCTATTCTTATGGTAAAAACTTTTAAGTATTTCTTCGCTGGAATCCTAACACTCTCCATTCACGGTAAAGATACTGTTGTGGCCCCGCCCTCTGAGCCTGTCCCATCGGAGGAAGAAAGCTCCGAGCATGAGGAAGAGGAGTCAGCCAGGCCTCCCTCTCCAGGCCCCTCCCCTCTGGCATTGTCTCAAGTGCCGGTCGAGGGAGAGGAGACAGCTGATTCGAATCAAAGTGATAATGAAACATCATTCCTGGACGCACGCCTCCGAAGGCGTGATAAATGTCTGCAGCAGCTTGGGAGGCGTGCTAGGGATTAGAACTGAGTCACTGGACCACACCCCAGAGACTATATAATA